ACAATGGAACTCATTCTTTCCATTGCAGATCTTGTTACCACAATATTTTGTACAATCCATTCTACAGATTTCTCCAGTTCTATAAACTCCTAAAATTTCAGCAACAACAAAAAAGTAATAAAACAATATTAATAGTCTGAAAATAGAGAGGTAAGGAGACATGAATCCATTTTAAATATCAGGGAAGACTTCGGTGACAGCCAGTCTAGGACATGAAAACTTCTTTTTGCTGGGGGTCATGTTTAAGTACAGGTGACACTTTTAGGTTTTGATGTTATTATTGAGAGATGAAACTATCACAATAACACATGACAAGCGATTTTTCCTGGTACACTGTGCATCATTTCTCTGTTATCAGTTCTTCCATAAACTGTAGCTGGTTCTTATGAATGCATCACTATCTCTGTGTGTTGTCAAGCAATTTATTTGTAATCTGTTGAGCCCATCATCATAATATAAAGATATGTCCCAGGGGGGCATATATATATATATATATATATATATATATATATATATATATAGGATTAATAAAAATATAAAATTTGTTACTTAACAGACTGATGTTATATTCAGGACTCCCACCTGAGAGTTCCATACATGAACCCTTTTGTAATCATTCAGTCCACTTGTCAGGTTTCAGCAATTAAGCCATTTATTATTACCACAGACGATGTTATCAAAATCAATTGAGCTCCACCAAACATTATTTAAAATTATCTGGTTATGTATTTTTTTAATAATATAAACTTTTTTATAACAATGTGTGTAAAAGATTTTATCTATTGCTTAATTTTATCAGTCACTTAGTGTTATCTGAAAAATCTTGTAAATAAGTAGTTTTCTCTCTCTCTATATATATATATATATATATATATATATATATATATATATATATATATATATATATTACACACACAGAGAATAGGATCAATATTCTATACAACAAGAATGGAAGGAATCTTGTTACTTGAAATGAGAAAAATCATTTGTTTGAGATACAGAAAATACAATTTACTAACCAAGCAATCAATGAAGGATAGAAATGGCAACTTCCAGACAACTTGCATTCATTGAAGTCTCAAAATATTACATGTATTTGATGATTCGTAAACTAATTTAAGAACTAATTATGTTTTTAAATTAAGAAATTAATTTACTTGAGAATGCACAATAGAGAGAAAATTAATTTTCTTCTGATGTTAAAATAAGGACTTGTATTCAAAATAGCCAGAAACAAGTGATGTTAAACTAGGAAACCATCAAAATAATATATCTCCTGAAAATAACTTTTATCCTATTTATAATGCATCTGTCTAGTAGAATTATTTACAGTACATTTCTATAGTAAATCACTAGCTGGGCACTAACATTGTTCAAGTAATGTTTGCATTAATTTCTGACCAATGATAATCCTTATATAAAAGCTGAAAGATATTTTCTGAGACATTTTAAGGTTCAAGAAGGCAATGTGGTCTTATAAGGCATGGAATATAGAATTGTTTTTTTCTGTATAGGTGTGTTAAGAATGTATTGTGCCCAAATGCAGACTGAATAAAATAAGCCCTGTTGAGAAGAGCTAACTGCGTTATTGTGCAAATTTATAATCATAAAAGTTTTGGTATTAATCCTGGTCTCAGATAGTGGCTCTTTACTTTAACCACCTAAGAGGTAAGTGGATCATAACATAAGGTCAATAGATAACTAAGGAATAATTTAGCTTTTAAATCTGTAAGTGTGCACATCAAGTTGTGAAGATTACTTCAGAGAAATTGTGCATTAATACACACATTACAAATACATATATGTACACACATTACAAATACATATATGTACACACATTTCTATAAAATAAATAAATAAATACAAGTAGATTGATAGAGAGAATACACATACATATTTCCATGAAATAGGCAGATGGAAATATACATACAAAAAAATGAACTAGAATAACTAGGGATAAAAAAAAAATGAACTAGAATAACTAGGGTGAAAAAAATGAACTAGAATAACTAGGGTGAAAAAAAAAATGAACTAGAATAACTAGGGTGAAAAAAAAAATGAACTAGAATAACTAGGGTGAAAAAAAAATGAACTAGAATAACTAGGGTGAAAAAAATGAACTAGAATAACTAGGTGAAAAAATAACTAGAATAACTAGGTGAAAAAAAAATGAACTAGAATAACTAGGATAAAAAAAATGAACTAGAATAACTAGGGTGAAAAAAATGAACTAGAATAACTAGGGTGAAAAAAAAAATGAACTAGAATAACTAGGGTGAAAAAAAAAATGAACTAGAATAACTAGGGAAAAAAAAAAAAAAACTAGAATAACTAGGTGAAAAAAAAATGAACTAGAGGTGAAAAAAAAAACTAGAATAACTAGGGTGAAAAAAATGAACTAGAATAACTAGGGTGAAAAAAAATGAACTAGAATAACTAGGGTGAAAAAAAAAATGGGGTGAAAAAAAATGAACTAGAATAACTAGGGTGAGAAAAATGAACTAAAATAACTAGAGTGAAAAAAAAAAAAACGAACACAAATAAGCAGTAAAATGGTCTGTCTTGTATGCATACCAGTTTTCAAGCAATAATTCATGCACTCACATAGAATTGATTTACAATTAGTAGTAGGACTTTTGCCAGTGTAATTTCTTTAAATGTTCAGATTCAGCTTTAAACCTACAAATAGATATATCAAAGTCTGGTCTTTTAAATCATATAAACTATTCTGGTTAATTCATTGCTCATTATATCTTTGAATTCTACAGGATATCATTAACAAAAAAAAAAGCTTGAAATAATTAAAAATTGTTTCTAATTGGTTCTAGCAGCAACCATGCTACTGACTTGCAGTTTAATTATCAAAAATGATTAGAGTAATGAAACTGGACTGCCTCAGCATTTCTGCTTTTATTTGCTATTTGAGAAATTGAATTCAATTATGGTACTTTTAATCTGTAATAAAATAAAATTAAATGTGTACACATGAGACAAGGTTGTTTATAAAGAATAAAAGAAAAAAAAAAGCAAAAGTTGCGTTTTTGCAAAACTTATATATGTTAACAGCTACTTTTCAAATAAGGCAAAAAAAAATACATAAAATTAACTAACCCACCCTTATCTGAAATTCTATAGTTCGGCAACTCCCACTGTCTGCAAAATAAATCTGTTTTTCTGCCAACCACAAGTCTTCCTCTATGTCTGAGTGCCTTTTCAAGTAGTTGTTTTTTTGTGATTGTTTTTTAATTATAAATTTGATGTATATATTTGCTCTTAAATGGGTTTGAAGGAGGGAACGTGAGGAAAGAGAGAGAGAGGATTTGAAGGAGGGAACGTGAGGAAAGAGAGAGAGAGGATTTGAAGGAGGGAACGTGAGGAAAGAGAGAGAGAGGATTTGAAGGAGGGAACGTGAGGAAAGAGAGAGAGAGGATTTGAAGGAGGGAACGTGAGGAAAGAGAGAGAGAGGATTTGAAGGAGGGAACGTGAGGAGAGAGAGGATTTTGAAGGAGGGAACGTGAGAGAGAGAGGATTTGAAGGAGGAACGTGAGGAAAGAGAGAGAGGATTTGAAGGAGGGAACGGAGGAAAGAGAGAGAGAGGATTTGAAGGAGGGAACGTGGAGGAAAGAGAGAGAGAGGATTTGAAGGAGGGAACGAGGAAAGAAAGAGAGAGAGAAGGAGGGAAGGAGGAAAGAGAGAGAGAGGATTTGAAGGAGGGAACGTGAGGAAAGAGAGAGAGAGGAAGGAGGAGGGAACATGAGAGAGGATTTGAAGGAGGGAACATTACAGAGAGAGGATTTGAAGGAGGGAACATTACGAGAGAGGATTTGAAGGAGGGAACATTGACAGAGAGGATTTGAAGGATTTGGGGAAATACGAGAGAGGATTTGAAGGAGGGAAACATTAGAGAGAGGATTTGAAGGAGGAACATTACGAGAGAGGATTTGAAGGGAGGATGAGAGGATTTGAAGGAGGAGAGAGATTTGAAGGAGGGAACATTACGAGAGAGGATTTGAAGGAGGGAACATTACGAGAGAGGATTTGAAGGAGGGAAATTATTGAGAGAGGATTTGAAGGAGGGAAAGACATGAGAGAGGATTTGAAGGAGGGAACATTACGAGAGAGGATTTGAAGGAGGGAACATTACGAGAGAGGATTTGAAGGAGGGAACATTACGAGAGAGGATTTGAAGGAGGGAACATTACGAGAGAGGATTTGAAGGAGGGAAAGAGAGAGGATTTGAAGGAGGGAACATTACGAGAGAGGATTTGAAGGAGGGAACATTACGAGAGAGGATTTGAAGGAGGGAACATTACGAGAGAGGATTTGAAGGAGGGAACATTACGAGAGAGGATTTGAAGGAGGGAACATTACGAGAGAGGATTTGAAGGGAGGAAACATTACTTGAGAGAGGATTTGAAGGAGGGAACATTACGAGAGAGGATTTGAAGGAGGGAACATTACGAGAGAGGATTTGAAGGAGGGAAACATTATTTAGAGAGGATTTGAAGGAGGGAAACATTAGAGAGAGGATTTGAAGGAGGGAACATTACGAGAGAGGATTTGAAGGAGGAACATTACGAGAGGATTTGAAGGAGGGGAACATTACGAGAGAGGATTTGAAGGAGGGAACATTACGAGAGAGGATTTGAAGGAGGGAAATTATTAGAGAGGATTTGAAGGAGGAAACATTATAGAGAGAGAGGATTTGAAGGAGGGAACATTACGAGAGAGGATTTGAAGGAGGGAACATTACGAGAGAGGATTTGAAGGAGGGAAACAAACGAGAGAGGATTTGAAGGAGGGAACAAAAAGAGAGAGGATTTGAAGAGGGGAACATTACGAGAGAGGATTTGAAGGAGGGAACAAACGAGAGGAGAAGAGGGAACATTAGAGAGAGATTTGAAGGAGGGAACAAACGAGAGAGGATTTGAAGGAGGAACATGAAGAGAGAGGGATTTGAAGGAGGGAGAGAGACGAGAGAGGATTTGAAGGAGGGAACATTACGAGAGAGGATTTGAAGGAGGGAACATTACAGAGAGGATTTGAAGGAGGGAACAAAACGAGAGAGGATTTGAAGGAGGGAACATTACGAGAGAGGATTTGAAGGAGGGAACATTACGAGAGAGGATTTGAAGGAGGGAACAAACGAGAGAGGAGAGAAGGAGGGAACATGAAGAGAGAGGAACAAAAGGAGGAAGAAAGAGAGAGGATTTGAAGGAGGGAACAAAACGAGAGAGGATCTGAAGGAGGGAACAAAACGAGAGAGAGAGACAGACGATCTGAAGGAGGGAACAAAACGAGAGAGAGAGACAGACGATCTGAAGGAGGGAACAAAACGAGAGAGAGAGACAGACGATCTGAAGGAGGGGAACAAACGAGAGAGAGAGACAGACGATCTGAAGGAGGAACAAAACGAGAGAGAGAGACAGACGATCTGAAGGAGGGAACAAAACGAGAGAGAGAGACAGACGATCTGAAGGAGGGAACAAAACGAGAGAGAGAGACAGACGATCTGAAGGAGGGAACAAAACGAGAGAGAGAGACAGACGATCTGAAGGAGGGAACAAAACGAGAGAGAGAGAGACAGGCGATCTGAAGGAGGGAACAAAACGAGAGAGAGACAGGCGATCTGAAGGAGGGAACAAAACGAGAGAGAGACAGGCGATCTGAAGGAGGGAACAAAACGAGAGAGAGACAGGCGATCTGAAGGAGGGAACAAAACGAGAGAGAGACAGACGATCTGAAGGAGGGAACAAAACGAGAGAGAGACAGACGATCTGAAGGAGGGAACAAAACGAGAGAGAGACGATCTGAAGGAGGGAACAAAACGAGAGAGAGAGAGAACGATCTGAAGGAGGGAACAAAACAAGAGAGAGAGACAGACAGACGATCTGAAGGAGGGAACAAAATGAGAGAGACAGACTATCTGAAGGAGGGAACATGAGGAAAAGGAGAGAAAGAGATAAAATAAAGGAGAGAACATGAGAGAGATGAAGTGAAAGAGGAAATCCAAGAAGAGATAAATGGACAGGGAGAGAGAGACACAGACTGAGAATGAAAATGCAGAAAAAGAGACAGACTGAAAGACAGGACATGGAGAGAGACTGCAGAGAGAGTGAGATGTACTAACAGAGAGACAGATGAAAATAGAACTCTATTGAACAAAATAAATTTAATCAGGATGCTTGTGTTGGTATGGTGATTTAAGACATATCCAAACTTGGTCAGAATTTCACATAGAAAAAAAAAAAAAAAAAAAAAAAAAAAAAAAAGAGTTAGTTCAACAATAAATCTGACATAGTGTGAGCAACATAAATAATAACAATAAATAATAAATAACAAATGTCAACTTGTGTCACATGGAAACCTTCCAAAAGTCTAAGTTCAACAAGTGATTTCATTTCTTTCATTCCAATTTGTTGATTCTATGTCAATTACAAAGACTCCAGATTATCCCTCTTCTTCAAGCTTCTCCAAGCACAAATTAAAAGACGCTTTCAAAAATCAATTTACTCAGTCAACCTTCAATATATTAAAGCTGCAATTGGGCAGATACAAAGTCTGTACAGCATGTATTCAAACATTTTGAACATCTCAAGAACTGATTCTGCAGCCTTGATGCAAGCAGGCAACCATTCAGTGAGAACCTTACTGCACATAACAGGCGCTCTCCCATTGGTATAGCAGAGTCAGTGTACTGTGTAAGTGCTACATTCACAATGACTAAGCAAAGTGATCCTTCACATATCATTCAGGAGTTCCAACAAAATATCACATCATTTAGATTTGTAAAATTTCCTATAGCCCAGGTTTGGCTCCCTGAGTCTTCTTCCCTCTACTCACCAAAGCTAGAATTACTGATGTATGGATATTTCAGTCTGTTGTCATGATTAAGAAGAATGTGATAAGGCAAATTACAAAAAATAAAAAATTGCAGACAGTTCAGAAAAGTGAAATGGAAGCTGGGATAAGAATGTGAGGTCTCAGTATGTGAGGTACTCTGAATGGGACTAAGATGTCATTGCCGTAGGTAAGCTATTTTTTTTCATTAATATTAAATGGGTGGATACTTTCCAGACAGACCTCAAATTTGCATATAAAAAAAAAAAAAACCAGTTGTCTTTTTAAGTGTTAAAAACAATATTTAAATAAAACTTATTTCATGAATCAGGATTAGGTTAATATTTTTTATTTCTGGTTTATAGTGGAAGCAAAAATTGATTTAGAAAAAAAATCCCCAAAAAGATCATAGAATGTGAGAGACTCACAAGGGGGCCCAAAGAGCCTACTGGTCTCAACAAAATGATCACAATTAGAAAAAGAATTTTAAAAAAAATAATTAAATAATAACAATTCTTCAAATTTGGAATTTCAGTTATACTCCTTAGTTTAAAATCTTAATTCAATAATGTTTGTTTCAACTCAGGATGATTTAAAAGAATATGCATTTGCTGAAAAACAGTCAATTCCTTTATAGGTAGGTAAATTATTTAGTCTATAGGTTAAAAATGGAAAAAAAACAACTTTATTTTACACAAATATTTTCAATAAAGCCTGAAATTCTTCTAATGTCATTAATTCAGTAATGAATATTAAAATCACAGATTGAACAATATATAGTGAAAATTTTTCCACTTAAGAATCAGCTAATAACTACCTCTCAAGCCACAGACTTAATAATCTACCATATATATATATATATATATATATATATATATATATATATATATATATATATATGTATGTATATGTAAGACAAGAAGAAAAACTATTCTTAGCTGACACGTGTTGTCCTCTGAGGGACTTTATCAAGACATTTGCCTTGATAAAGTACCCCATTGGAGGAAAAACATTGGCTAAGAATAATTTTTCCTCTTGACTTTTTATACATTTTGTTCTTTTACAGATACACTATCCGAAAATAATTTGCACACACAAGATTTTATATATATATATATATGAGAGAGAGAGAGAGAGAGAGAGAGAGAGACAGTGTGGCTGTGGTATTTATCAGTGTTGATTTCTATGTCCACATGATCTCTATCTCCAATATTGACCACTCTTAGCCCATAAATATAGCAAATTTTAAGCAATTATTTTACAAGAGTCAGTTTTCTATCCATGCCTGACAATTTCTATATGATGAAATTCAGAGTTGTACCAAACAGTGAGCAAATAATAACAGCCACTTGTTTTTGAGTATGCCTGTCTCTTAGTACAGCAAGCCAAACCCTGTTGCAGAAGTCTGCTCAGGCATGTTTGTGTTTGTTCAACTGTGTTTTACACTGCAACTGTACTGAATGGACCTTAGTTACAGTTATGGTAGAAAGCATTTCATGTGGCATGATCAACAGTTTGAACAAGGCCAGTACATTCAACCCCCAGTCACAATGACTTGTTACTTTGTAATGCATATTTTCTTTTTTATATTCATGTTACCTACTGATATATGTCAAATTATTTAACATATCATTTCTGCCAATAAAGTGCATGAAAGTTGTTTAGAGCAATAATTATTCAATCAGAAATAACTAAGTTAAATACTTATCAAAGGTCAACTCTGAGTTTCATAATTAATCATTGGTCAGGACTTTCGATAAGATTTTCTTCTCACAAGTCCGGACAAATTTACTAAACCTATGATAAGTGATGAATGTTGTTATCATATAGATATATATATATATATGGGAGAGAGAGAGATGAACTTAACTAGTATCATGTAGGTAAGAGTAGCAAAGCAGAAATGGTAGATAAATGTAACTAGTATCATCTGAATAAATACTGTTCTAATGATTACTGAAAAAACACTGATCAGTTTAAATTTCAAATAGAATATGACAGATGGAGAAAAAAAGGGGGAGAGAACTGTTAATATGAACTTGATCTCAAACTTGTCATCTCAGCTACAATGAAAGTGGAATACTTGCTCTACTAGATTTCAAGAAATCAAGTAAAATTTAAAATGAAAAATACTTTTAATATACAATATCACTTGAGAACTATCTAAAACAGTATATTGGTAAAACTTCAGAAAAATGGTTATATTCAGAACAGGGAAGAAAAAAGTTTAAGTGTCATATTTATGAGATAAATATTACATATCAGTTGTTTATTATATGAGTGGCAATCATTGCATGACAAAAATGTATATTTTCAGAAGATGAAATAAATATTTTGTTTAAAAATGACTTTGAAAGATCATAAGCAATTACCTAAACTTTACATTAAAAAGCCAAAAGTTTATACATAAATAAATAAAAAAGATAAAGAAAAAGCAAAATTACACACACACATATATATATATATATATATATATATATATATATATATAACTTGTAGTGGGAAATTGAGTATTGCTTTAAAGAGAAAGTGAAATTTAATTTCTAACTCCAAAATTAAAAAAATAAACAAGCAAATAAATACAAATTTGATAGACATATGTCCACTTAATATCTCAAAGTGAAAAATTGTGATGGGGAGGCAAAGCAAGAGGGGGTAAATCTATTGAGAATGAAAAGTAAAACACAGAAAAAAAAAAGTTCTGAATTTAATGTTTTCAAGAATTTACAAACTTCCCCACCTCCCCTTTTGGTTTTTGCCACTTAGTAGCTTCCTCTTAAATGGCTACTCAATAATAAGTGCATATGACTCAGACAGTATTTTGAAAATGTGTGCAATTGCTTGAGTTTGTATATGGCACAAGAATGAGTGGGAGGGGGAGAATACAGCAGAGAATGGTAGGCATCTTAAAGATATAAAAAGAATATTAATAACAGTGATGATAATAATTATGTAAAACATACACCCCCTTCTGATGACTGCTTCTACGCATGTATGAATTTTACTTCATATTACAAATGCATTTGGAAATTGTATAGCAAATATTCACAGTTCAGCATTGTTGGTAGTATCTATGACAATGGAGGTGAGGAATAACAGTGGGTGGATGAGTTTGTATAAGAGCGGGAGGGTAAATCATACAAAAATAATAATAATACTGACAGTTGGTAAAACAAAATTTAAAAGTAGTAAACAACAAAGTGAATTTAAAAGATTTGATTACAAATTTTCAAACTTAAGAAAAATGTTTTCAATATACAAAGAAAAAAAAAAGAAAATCAAAATCAGAATTTTTTTTCTTTTTTATTTAAACAACCTCTATTGCAGGAAAGAATATTTTAAAAATTTGAAAAGAAAAAAAATATTACACCAAAATAATTGCTTGCTTAGATACAAAGTCAACATACACAAAACAGGTACCAAAAAGTTTTTAAAACTGACCAAGAAACCCTTCCTCTGCCAAAATTTGGATGTTGTAAGGATTTAGGAAGTGGGTCGGGTCAATAACTTTACACACACACAAAAAAAAAAAATATCTAAAAAAGTTTGTGTGCACACACGTGTGTGTATGTGTATGCACAAACTTTTTTCAGATGTGCACACTACATCAATTTGTAATTAATACCATGTGGAAATTTATATAGCACACATACACTTTTGGGAGATTAATGTTGATTTATTAAAATTTCTGTAAGAAAAACAAGCTAATGCATTTCATTAGATATATAAATAACTTCCACTCTGTATGCTATATATATATATATATATATATATATATATATATATATATGACAAGAAGTACATGAGCTAAGTATAAATCTTTGCTGTATAATGAACAAATTTGTGAGTGTGTGTGTGTATGTGTTTTTGCACACAAACATACACATAGCAAGCTGTAGAGAGATATTTGAATATATACAGACACAGACAGACACACATACACATTTCAAAATAGGCAAGAAACAACAAAAAATAATACCTGTTGCTGAGGATTCAAACAGAGACCAACCCACATTGAGGTACCCTAGACCCTGACTGAGACAGAAAGAGTTGGATGGAATCTTACTAGCAAGTGTTTATGTCCGTCCGTCTGTCTGTCAGTTCAAATGTCTCTCTATCTCTCTCTCCCAACTTCCTGTGATGGGATGTATATTGTAAAGCTTAAGACACTGGTCAAAGGTTGTCAGAGGATGGATAAGTTACGACTGCTGCATGTTGGTTCTGCCCAGACCAGTTCTGACCATCCAGAAAAAAA